CACGAGAGCGAGGGTAACTAACTAAAGAGAGAAGATAATTTAGAAGTGACAACACTGACAACTAATTCAGATCTCCCTACGTGCTGTCACTTCATTTTAACGTTGACAAATGAATGCTGACTGGCTGGGTGTAGGTATAGATTTGGCTATAACTTATTATGTATTCGTGTAAAAAAAATTTACATTGTGCAGTCGTTTAAGATAGAATTCATTTTTGGTAATTAGGTACTTACTAACTTTTTGGGTTTAGGTAGGTACAGTCAACGTCAAATTTCGTAACATCAACATCCTTATCGCTCGCGCGTAATTATGTTGCTGTCGCGCTCGCACACTCACTGCGGGCGCCTGTGAAACAGTCGCGACAGCAATATAATTACGCGCGAGCGATAAGGATGGGTAGCTTGGGGTCATTAGACAAAATTCCACGTGCTCACGGACCAGGCTTTAACATGGAGTAAAGTTCAGTATTAACATCTTCCATCTGGGTTCCAGTATTACAAATTTCCACTTGGTCCCGCGGTTCTGACACTCTAAGGTTTTTCTATACCAACAGTTGATCCCAAAAACGTCTGTGCAAATGAATTGAAATTATGCAAGCTTGTTTACATGGAGTGAGCCATTCGTGGGAAAATTTTCCAATTTTTCACCGTCGCATGGCGTTTGTGCATATTTAATTTTGTTTTTTTGATTCCCCAGTGACTGGACGGTTGATACAATTGCTGTCTTAGATTAGGGCCTGTATTGCGACAAGACTGATGGCCGTTGGGGCAGAAAAGTTCTCGAGTGGCGACCACGAGCCGGAAAGCTTAGTGTAGGTAGGTTCGGTGGACCGACGATCTGAAGAAGGGTAGTCAGGCCTCCCACTCGGTGGACTGATGACTTAGTGAAATCGCGGGAAGCATCTGGACCGGCTGTAGAAATTGTGGGCCTTTGTCCAGCAGTGGGCGGTATTAGGTCGAATTACGAAAAGACCCTGTTACTGACCCGTCTGATCAGTATAGGGAGTGTAGCCCAAATCCTCCACTTTCCTCTGATAGTCAGAGAGGGTCATACTCCTGCAGTGAAGACAAAATGATCTGATGATGATGGTGACTTACTGAAATCAGTGTAGACTCCAGCCTTTGATTAGCTGTATTTAATACTTCTGAAATAAATAAAATTCACATAATTTCCGAAAAAATCACTTTATATTATAAACTTTAATATTATTATAGGCAGAATTTATTAATTTTACTTTAAGTACTTATATTATTATTATTTTAAACCTACCTACCTAGTAATTAATCAAACATCACAGACATAATTATTTCCTTTTAGTACCTACTTACATTGAGTGATTTTTTTAACTATGTATAAATCTACTACTTATGTGGTAGTTTTAAAATCTATACCTAAGTAATAATCGCATTTCACAAAGTGACAGTTTTGTAAAAAATATCTACTTTTACATGAAACAGGATAATGTACAAAGGAAACTATTTACAAAATACGTATCTACCTACATTTATCTACTAAACTTTAAATAAAACATACATTTAACCTACCCTTATTCAAAAAGATACCTCTCACATTTTCTGAAAGTCAAGATTTTCTATTTTTGGTCACATGAACCAGTAAGTGCTCTTTGAGTTAAAAATATTTCTTTTGAGAATTTAACGGAAAAATTGAATAAATGCGCATTTTTCTTTGATCCCAAATTATGTCGAAAAATGTATTCTTAGAATACCTATCTGTCAGATAAAATACTATTTCCCAGAAAGAGATACCTATGTCCACTTAGCATTAAGTCTCTATGGAATAGTCTAGCTCCTCTCCTCACTATACATACAACAGCATACATACATATCACGTAAAATACAACTTCTAAAATACTCAGGAAAGTTCTTGAGTGGCGACCACGAGCCGGAAGACGTAGCGTGGGCAGTCCACTAGGTGGACCGACGATCTGGTGTAAAACTCATTAAAAAACTCATTAAAACTCATTTATTTCTGTAAATAGGCTTAAAAAAAGCACTTTTACTGCTTTTACACGTCCCAGTATTAACCCTACCACTGCTTCAGGACAATAAATGGGCCAGTGCTGAGAAGAAGCAGCGCAAGAAACTCAGTCACTATTGTCAGCCTCTTTTTCAAAGGTTTACATGCTTTAAAATGTACAAGGTTATAAATATTTATGCGAGCTAGGCAGTAACGTATCCCAAACATTTTTATCTTTTAAATAATCATCGACTTTATAGTAGCCCTTTTTCATTAAGGTACTTTTAATATGTGCTTTGAATTTATGAATGGGTAGTTCTACAACAGTTTGTGGTAATTTATTAAAGAATTTAATACATTTTCCCATAAATAAATTACCAATCTTATGCAATCTGAAATTTGGAACGGCAAGTTTATTTTTGTTTCTTGTATTAAAGTTATGCAAATCGCTCTTAGAGGTCGCGGGAGGTGCCTGGATGCGAGCGGCGCAGGACTGGTCTTTGTGGAAATCCTTGGGGGAGGCCTTTGTCCAGCAGTGGACGTCTTTCGGCTAAAACGAACGAACAAACGAACAACTTCTACTTAAGTATGTAGCATAAAGTCACTGGTAACTAACAATATTAACTTATTAGATAGCGTAGTAATGTATGACAGATAACATTCTAATTGAAACTTTACCAGGAAGCTGTAAATTACCCCGACATTTTTCTCTTCACGATAATCTATTCGCCAATTTTAATATCCACAAGAGACCAAAAGCAGTCGTAACTTCTACATCAAATAGCAAGCTCAATGAGTTAAAGTTCCTTACATTGTATACAGAGTAAACTCACTGATAACCGTTTTACATTGCTGTAAGTCCACTGATATTGAGACATTATTATTCTAAGACCAGTCGCTTGGAATAGATAGACTTTCTTAAAGCATTACATAGAGACCAATGGAGATTTTTTATTTTATTTTTAAGTAGGTAGGCACTTAGTAACGGATGATGTATGAGGCACATTTCAGCCACAGGACGTCCACTGCTGAACATAGGCCTCCCCCAATAATTTTCATATTGCCCGGTTGGTAGCCTTCAACTAGCGCCTTCTTGCTACCTTTATGAGGTCGTTGGTTCACTTTGTGGGTGGACATCCCATGCTGCGCTCTCCGTGGCATTATGACAATTTTTCAACCAAAGTTTAAAATAGTGTGTTTTTTTAATCACAAGTTTTTAGGTAATACTGCCTATACAATGAAAGCATAAAACAGCTACTCTTTTATGAATCTGTAGGCTACAAACGATACAACATGTTTAAACAGGAAAATAATATGATGTATTTTTATAAACAGCTCTTTTATCACTAATTATGATATTTATAAATCTCACAACAAAAGGTACCTAAATATAATGAATCATAATAATATTAAGAATGGAAAATTATCTTTGTGGACGGATTTAGAAGGAAATTGCTTACAATGGCTTTTTAGTTTGTAGTTTTTAGTTAATATTTTTACTAGAAGCATAGTATAAGAATGAATATTACTAGAAGTCTAACTTAGATAGGTACTTACAGTCAAGGAACTTAATCCATAACCCATTTCGCTGAATGTCGTTTGATACTCAGAAGCATTCACAAACATTACTATGAGGTCTCACAGTGCGCGTGGACGCACACGGGCAAACTGACGGGCAAAAAATACGGGCGAGAATGCATTGCTTTTTAAAGTTGGATTTTATTGATGCTCGAGATGATAATGACAAATATGATTGTAAGGAATGTTTCCGAAAATATAAAACAGTACAAATAAAAACAAAAAGAAAAGAAAAATGTAAAAGGCTACTATCATTTTCCTGGAAAACTCATCTCCGTATTTACTAAACATATTCAAAAATGACAAGTTGTCAGACAAAATAATAAAATATGTCAGACCAAAAGGGTTACCTACGTGAGTGCGACGAACGTTACGTCGAATATTGTTTCATAAAAATATTTACAACTCAGAAAAATAATTGTTATTTTAATATTTTCCTTAATGTCATATTTTATTTGTATCTTTCTTCTTTTTGTCATTATAAAAGATAAACCGAGTCGTGTTTAGGTACTTGTCCTTAAGATTACCTTAAGTTAAATTTTAAGAATTAAGCTTATTATAATATTGTTACTAAAATTATAATAATCTTTATTAACGTTAAAACAATAATATGGCAAAAGCAAGATTTGGGCGGAAACTAGAAATTTAGTTTGTAAGGTAGGTCTGTGATTGAACAAAGTAAAGAAAACTATTTTAGTTCAACAAAATATTACCTTTAAATAGCGAAATAAAAACAACAGGTGTAACCGATACAATGAAGACATGAACAGAAGTCTTAATTCCAGTCATATTTTTGACACAAAGTTAATTCGTCAGTCACATCTACAAATATCATACATTGTCAATTATAGTTGTTGCAATTCACGAAGGCGGGTGAGCTTTACATGTGTGGTGGCTCACTTAGTTTTGATAGACATTACAGTATCCTTATGTGCATGTAGACGTAGACACACAAGTAAAGCTCACTCGCCTTCGTGAGTAGCAAGAACTATAACTAGATAACTACATAAACATTTAACTCAGATACTTCGACTTATTATGTATTGCTAGAGCAATGGTTCTTAACCGGTGGTCCGCGGACCACTAGTGGTCCCTGGAGGCATTCCAAGTGGTCCACGAAGTGCCCTTGCACACCTTGGTCAAAACCACTTAACTGATTTTTGCAGTCAAACTGGTTTTGACAGATTATGAGGTGGTCCCTGACAAGACAGAAATTTGGTAAAATGGTCCCTCATGACTTAAAGGTTAAGAACCACTGTGCTAGAGTTATCATTCTTGCTAGAGTAAGTAAAGCACTTTAATATTACATAGGTAATAAGCACTCAGTATAGCACAGTAAAACATTACAAGAAACACAAAAGTACCTAGTCTAGATGTTTGTACGCGATTTTGGTAGCTCAGGATCAGTCAATAGTCACACTTTAGTAAAACTCATAAAACCCTGTATTAACCCTACCACTGTTTTGGGACAATAAATGGGCCAGTGCTGCACTTAGCATCAACACAATCTTCACACGTGAATTTGGTAGCTCACTCACAGTTCACTAGCACCTGCCACTTTGTAACTAGCCAAAGGCCATACTTTTCCAATCTACACTACACTTAGCACAGTGAAACAGTTTGATCAAACGTACAAAGAACCTATACATCACTGTCAGAGCACGAAGTTATCCTCCGAATTGATGTTCCGTATAATTGACGTATATATCTCATTTTCCGCCTTCAAGCCTTTCTTACCTCTGTAATACGGAAACTCGTTATTCGTGGGCAGGTAATATATGCCTGGTTTCCCAAAATCGGTGTACATTCCAACATAGTTCACCTCTGTGTTGTTATAGCAGTTGGAGAATCGAGCATCTTGGATGGAGTCACATTTTATTGCTATGAACTTCTTGGGATGCTCAAGAGCTTGCCACCAGTAGAGAATAGCTCTTATATGACTGCATATGACAAGGCATGGAACGTACGGTACATCGCTAGGTTGGAATTCGCCACCATTGGCGTAGAAGTCGACGTGTCCTAGTCTCTCTGCTATGCCAAAGCCGTCTATATTTGTATGTATAATATCGACTCTTTCTGCATCTGATGAGTCAAGTCTATACTTTGAAGGTAAGGATCTGAAGCAGGGTCCAGCGGGATCCAAACCGGTGACCCTGGAGGGTTTTTTTCCTGTGACGGAGTAGAAATGCTTGGCAGCATATCCCACTATGTGGGCTCCTAAGCTGATGCCTGCCAGCTCAAGGTTGTCAGCTGTTAAACCTTGGTCGGTTAGCTTCACGAGGAATTCCCCTATCTTTCTCCCTATTTCTCTGGATAGGCGAACTGACCTGGAAAGAGAATGAGAAATCTAAAATCATATTATTACAATTGACTGTAATTTGTGTGCCCCCTTTCTCTAAACATAAAGGTGTTCAATATTGGAATACTTTCAAAGCCTTGGAAACACTATGAAAAAATCTACATAATTTTTCAGAACTAATTGATGCATGAAATTTCGGAAAAACTGTCACGTTGTAAGACATTAGGTCACTTTACTGTACACCACACATAAAATACCTCAAAAGAAATGAAAAATCAAACGGCACAATTCTGGCGGTCTTATCGGAAGCGGAGGAAGCGACTTCTTCAGGGAGAGGACAAGAGTGTATCCGAGGCTTAATGTACCCAAATAATTCAAATTCTTAACCCGACAAGTGTAACCGTAACAAACACACAAGCACACGTGTCCATACGTTGTATGTTTAAATACAACTTTGTTTCGTTTACAGAAGCGTAATTAACGACTACAAATTAAATCTGTTGATTTTGGACCAATTAAGACTTCAAGGGCACGTTTTGCATTATAAATGTGGTTGTGAACAAACCACGAATTGAGGAAACAGAGTAGTAAATTTTTGGGCATGAATTTAACTCTATTTCAAATTAAATATTTACCTAATGGAATAATTCAAGCAATTTTTAATGTTATTATTTAATTGTTATTTTATATTCTAACTTAGGGATAATTTATTTTATTTTATTTATTTATATTAGGGAAACAGACAAATAATCACACAAAAAATAGGACAGCAAAGTTTCCACAGTTAAAATTAATACAGCGTGCAGACTAAAAATTAATTAAAAAGTAATAAATTGATTTGATCGAATATTTAATGTAGTTACTTTAAGTATACTATTATCTGCGTAAGAAACGCAACTCTTTCTGGAACACCTTGTACCCTAGCTTCTCGTAAAGTGTTCCCACAACCTGGGAATGTAAGAAAATATTATTTCGGAACCAACAACAAAATATCCACTTACTTTGGGTATATCTGCGTAAGAAAGGCAATAGTTTCGCTCTGAAACACGTTGTACCCTAGCTTCGCGTAGGCTGTACCCACAGCCTGAGAGTGTAAGAACCAGGAGCTGTCTATGAACCCGACTGCGTAGAACACCGTCTTCTTGTTTTTTAGATCTGTAAAAATAAAAGGTTTGATAAGTAGGTACCTACTCACAAAGTTAGAAGTAAGTAGAAGTACAGAGAACATTTAAAAAGTCAAAAATAAGGTTTACTCGTTGAAATAACGCAATAGTTTCGCTACGGGGAACTGCTTAAATAAGTCAAACCCTGCATTACTCAGACTTTTTACCGGTACCCCGACGCCATGTAGAAATGACGATACAATTACGAACAATATACTTAGTAAATATTGAATATTTACACTTTGGGATCGCGGTGGCAGATGATGCTTTTTAGTAGCAATTAGTGCATGTGCTCAATACGTACCCATATATTTGCTTTTCGCCATCACACTCGGTGCTGTAGTGATGGGCATAGACTTCCTGACGACTTCTCCTTTGTCGTTGAGCCGATGGTGCACCACTTGAAGGTAGTTCACCATCACGTTGCTGATGGTAGCGTTCTTCATCACTCCAGGACCTGGGAAGACATGCATAAAGTTTGCAACATTATTGTTATGCGTTTAAGGAGAACCATAGTGAGACTAATCCACCATTTTATGTAAAGACCCTTTTTGAAGCTACGTACTGTACCATTTTTGGCCACTCAAGGTTAATTTATTATCAAAAATACAGTAAAGATAATATTGAAGATTAAAGATTTTTTATGAAAATACCTACATAATATTAAATTTAAAATGGCTAAAAACTGTGCAAAAATAGAAATGGCCCTACCTGTCTGATAGATAGTGTCTGTTGTTTACACATGATACTATGATTCACAATAGAATAATTATTTTGGTTTATTTATTAAATAGTCTAGACTCTAGATAATAAATATTTCTTTTTGTATTATTGTCAATAGAACAGATACGGTATCCAAAGCCAATGATCAGAAAATTGTAATTGTTTATTTGAGAGAGATTTGTTTTCTTCGACATTGAATCAGGTAAATACTCGTCGTATAATTAATTTTGTAAACACATTCTCTGAAGGTCAACAAAATGCTTTTATTTTATTGCTCTTTGTAAAAGCTATAAATAAACATTATCATAAACTCGCACTTGTGGGTACAGTCAAGGTAATAATATCTCTATGTAAAAAAGGTGGTCATCTTTTTATTAAATACTAGCTGACCCGGCGAACTTTGTTCCGCCTTAATGGCAATAAATAAGCAGACTTTTTTTTATTTCGAACGGGATAAAAAGTATCCTATGTCCTTCTCCTGGCTCTAAACTACCTCCCTGACAATTTTCAGCTAAATCGGTTCAGCCGTTCTTGAGTTATAAGTGGAGTAACTAACACGACTTTCTTTTATATATATAGATAGATAGTGATTTTTTTAATTGGGTATTTTAATTTTGTTTAAAATAAGGATACAACACACAAATCCTTATACAAAAAATCACCATTGTTTAATTGTTATAGTTCAGTTTGAGGGCTCTACTTAATTGAGTCAAAAGCGACGCATAATTATACCGATCGATCGGAATAAAAAAACCGATATATAACTAGCTTTCCGCCCACGGCTTCGCCTGCGTGCTATTATGTCTGTCACAGAAAAACATTAACACGCGCGTCCCTGTTTCTAAAACTAAAGGAGAACTAAACTAGGATAAAAACTATCCTATGTCCTTTCTGGGGACTCAAACTATCTCTATGCCAAATTTCATCAAAATCGGTTCAGTGGTTTAGCCGTGAAAGTAAGACAGACAGACAGAATTACTTTCGCATTTATAATATTAGTATAGATTATCATAGAATAATATAGAATAGTATAGTATAGAATAGTATAGAATAGTCGTAAGTATAGAATATTAGTATAGATTACTAATCGGTAGTTATCGTTGAGCTGTCCCCGACTCACTTCTAAAACAGGCACAAAATTAATATTTAGCTTAGGTAAAGGGCTTAACGGTAATAGAAGTGCACAATGTATTAAAAACACAAAGAAAAATGGTAGACAATACTTGTATCCGACTGTACAAAAATTACCTATCTGCTCTCATTCAATGTTACCTTTAGATGTTAAGGTCAGTTGTTCATTGAGCTTGTAAAATAACATACGAGATTATTTCATTGTTATTTCAACGCGGTGATGTGTCCAGTAGGTAGATAGTTTATATTTAAGTGGGTATTATAATCTATACCTATTTATCTATCTAAGTATATTGTCGGCCGTTTGGTGTAGTGGTTCAAAACGGACTTCTATTCTGGAGGTTGCGGGTTCGATTCCTACACAGTACAAACATTTGTGTGCATGAACATATTTGTTTGTATTGGTCTGGGTGTTTTCTATGTATAATATGTATGTATTTACAAAAAAAAAAGTATTTAAGTATGTTTATATTCGTTGTCTAATACCCATAGTACAAGATTTGCTTAGTTTGGGACTAGAAGCGCAGTGTAAAATGTCCAAGGATATTTATTATTTTTATTATTTTATTATTATATAACTCAAAAGGTGACTGACTTACTGACTGACTGACTGACTGACTGACTGACTGACTGACATAGTGATCTATCAACGCACAGCCCAAACCACTGGATGGATCGGGCTAAAATTTGGGATGCAGGTAGATGTTATGACGTAGGCATCCGCTAAGAAAGGATTTTACGAAACTCCACCCCTAAGGGGGTAAAACGGGATCCACGCGTACGAAGTCGCGGGCACAGCTAGTAATATTATAAAGCTGAAGAGTTTGTTTGTCTCAACGCTTATCTTAGGTACTGATTTGAAAAAATATTTTTGTGTTGGATAGCCCATTTATTGAGGAAGGCTTTCGGCTATATCACATCACCCTACAGCCAATAGGGGCGGAGCAGTAAAGAAAAATGTTCTTTTTTTATGTGACAGTAGCAGACCGATCACACCTGATGGTACCTAAGTGATTACCGTCGCCCATAGACACCCGCAGACCCAGGGGCGTTATAGAATTTTGCAAAAGTCGTGTCAATATAAATTAAATACTTATATTATTATGGATCACATACTTATCAATGAATGGTAATTTATGGACAATACATCAACATCAATTAGCGTCTATTAAAAACATCTAAACAAAGCAATTATCACTATATCCAATTAAAACAAAACACATCTCTAGTTTATACCTTTACCCATCTTATACAAAATGGTAATAATGTATGTAAAATGAATAATAATCAGATCCTATTCATTGGTCATTTGTATCGCGTAAGTTTGACGTAGATCATCCTTGGCATTGCATTCAAATGCATCAACATTATGTGATACACAAAGAAATATAAAGGGAAATGACGTTATTCTTACGGCATAGGTTTCGTTAATGATACAAACGTGATTATGCCTATGTTCATTAAAAATAATTCTAAAGGTCATAGCAGACTTATCAACTCGGAAAAGGGTCTACATCGTAGGTATAGATGACCTACACTGAACTGTCCCACCAAACTCATTGACAGGGAGGCGCCACCATCGTTGAACTACATAGTTTCCAACATGGCAAAAATCGGAACCAGCTATCCGGTATTGATGGTGGCGCCCCCCTGTCAATGTCACTGATGAGACTGTTCGTTGTAGTTGGACAATAACACCTTTGGCGAGCTGTCATCGCCTTTCGCTCTCGCAACCGCGAGGCAAGGCGTTTACTGACCGCCTCGAGTTGATACGGTTACGATCCTTTTCCGGTTTAATAAGTGTGCTACATCCTTAAACCGGACAGAATTTTGCCCCCAGTGGGAATCAAACCCGAAACACCCCGATACCTGTGGATCTTAAACAGATGGTCTTCCGAGCGGTGGCGGCTGAATCAAGGCCAGTAGTTTTTTTTTTTTTATCCACAACGAGGAAGCTCTTGGCCTGTATCTCACCTAAGTTTAAATTCACCCTTAGTTTATATACCTAAATGTAAATAGGATTCGAATTCTTTATTATGTACAGTCAGCGTCAAATAGTTCATGACACCCTAGGTGGCCAAAAAGTTGACAACACGCAACCTTATTCCAAACTAGGCCGCCCGCGACTTCGTACGCGTGGATCCCGTTTTACCCCCTTAGGGGTGGAGTTTCGTAAAATCTTTTCTGAGCGGATGCCTACGTCATAACATCTACCTGCATGCCAAATTTCAGCCCGATCCGTCCAGTGGTTTGGGCTGTGCGTTGATAGATCACTATGTCAGTCAGTCAGTGAGTCACTTTTGAGTTATATAAATTTAGATGTAACAAAGACTCATGTTGAAAACTTATAGGCTACTTTGGGTGTCACGAACTATTTGACACTGACTGTACCTCTATTAACTTCTGCAGAAGCTAATTTGCAATGATACAGGCGACAGCGCATCAAGCTAAACTCTTGCACCTTATGCAGTTGTAATAGTGTCGATTTTTCAATAACCTGATGTGCTAAAGGCTGTACATAATGTATCACGACCGGGTGCACTTCACCTAGCTACGATGCCAATAGGTTTAGGTAAATCTAAACGAATAATTATAAAATATTCGCAAAACTAGTATCTAATTCAAATCCTATGGCCTAGGGCACCTGTTACTAAAGACATAATGCAGTGATATTCAGTAACTAAGTCATAATTTAAACTTCATCATCATCTCAGCCATAGGACGTCCACTGCTGAACATAGGCCTCCCCCAATGCTTTCCATGTTACCCGGTTGGTAGCGGCTTGCGTCCAGCGCTTTCCTGCTACCTTTATGATGTCGTCGGTCCACCTTGTGGGTGGACGTTCCGTCCAATCTGAACTTCGTCAGGTTTAAAAAAATGTTTTCAAATTCACACGTGACGAAGCCACGATATCCGAACGGTGAAGGGGTCGGACTGGCCGACTCATGATCCGGGGAACGCGGGTTCGGTCCCTGCCGCCGCTCGACTATTGTGGTGAGCTCACTCGTGACACAAGCATATTTAGCTTAGTACGAGGGGCTAATGCGACTATTAGTAATAAATAAACAAATGACTAATAATATTTTCCAACCCCAACCCGTCTGGCGTAGGTGGGGAGTGTATGCCAAATCGTCCACTTGCCTTTGGAAAATTAAATAGAGTTGTGCTCCTGCAGTGAAGACGAAATGACTTCAATGATATAACATAAAAAAATATAAACACATTTTAACATTTTCTCAGACATCAGACCCGCAAAAAACGCAGGAAATACATGGTGGTGTCAATCATGGGTATTTCCATACACACTCTATGGAGAAAATTGAATATTATTTTAGCTTTAGAAAAAAGTAGACACTTATTTCAATTGAGTGACATTGTCACACACATGTCCCCCTTTAAATTGCGCAGTAAAATAAAATACTAAAATGAATTCAAATTCAAATTCAAATTTTTTATTGCATTAAATTTAAAGGGCCTTCTGCTCATTGCTACTTCATACCAAAACAAAGGTAGGTCTAGACTACTAGAACCTAGGTTCTAGGTCATTGCTATCCACCGACTCCACTTTAGGCGAATTAGTAACATATTTTCAATAATGATTCGTTTGGATCTAGCCCAAGGTATACCTTGTGTCAACTTGCAAGTATTAAATGTCTTATTCTCAAGTCCTTCTATTCATTATTTACAAACCAGTTTTTAAATAGCCTTAACGATGTTTAATGTAAAAGTAGGTATTATTAAGGTAAATTACAATAACCTAAGTTACCAATTATTTCGTCAATTACAGGTACATAAGTATCTAGTAATAGGGGGTGTGAAATATTTAAGTAATTAAATTAAGTAAGTAGAGCAGCAACATCGAGCATCCACATACTTAATCTACACTAATATTATAAAGAGGAAAACTTTGTTTGTTTGGTTGTAATGAATAGGCTCAAAAACTAATGGACCGTTTTTAAAAATTCTTTTACCATTCGAAAGCTACATTATCCACGAGTAACATAGGCTAAATTTTATTTTGGAAAAAAATAGAGTGCCGTAAAATATATTATGTAGACCACGCGGGCGAAGCTGCTAGCGGAAAGCTAGTGTTTTATAAATAACTAGTGACCTGCTCCGGCTTTGCACGGGTATTAAGTAAACATATAAACCTTCTTCTTGAATCACTATCCATTAAAAACGCATCAAAATTCGTTGTGTAGTTTTAAAGATCTAAGCATACATAGAGACAGACAGCGGAAACCGACTTTATTTTATACTATGTAATGAAAATTATTATTAATGTATCCTTTAAGTATTTCTGTATATCTGCCTACTGGTGGCTGAGTTACTAGCGCTCTGCTTTTTTCAGCACTGGCCCATTTACTGTCCCGAAATGGGCAGTGGTAGGGTTGACGTAATACTGGAACGTGTAAAAGCGCTTTTTAAAAAGCCTATTTGCAAGAAATAAATTACTTTTTAAAGTTTTCCGGATGTGAAGGCTCATCTTCCTTAAATAACTTTTTTTGAACATGTCACCCATCCTAGACCTACATAACTTACCTACATTTTAACATCTAAAGGTCAGACTTAACCGCGAATAATTAAAACCTTAATCATCTAGTTAACACCTCAACTTACAGATGCCATCTTGGTAGAGATATGTTAATAAAATAAGAAGATTCAGTAGCTCTACCATAAAAAGTATGAGAATTAAAATAACGCATTACGTCATATTTGTGACATGACATAACAAGCCACCACAACAAATAATTGCTACTATCATTGTTTTACGTGCTTAAAAATGCACTGACCATTAGGTACACATGGCTAGGTAGATAGGTCTAATACTAGTCTATGGGAAACAAAAGAACTAATTGAGTTAAAAGGTCTATTGTTGGAAATTAGAGTGAGTTAAAGGGCAATAAAGCTCTACATCTAAGATTAATTTTATTCTGTCTCACTCTGTGTCTTTGGTAATATAATAATGGTAGAGATGAATAACTGTACTACCGCCCGCGACTTCGTATGCGTGGATCCCGTTTTACCCCCTTAGGGGTTTAATTTTGCAAAATCCCGTCTTAGTGAGCACCTACGTTCTAAAATAAACTCCCATGCAAAATTTGAGACTCCTAGCACTTGTAGTTTCTGAGATTTCGTGATGAGTGAGTGAGTCAGTCAGTGACCTTTCGCTTTTACCGATTTTATACAAAATAGCTACCAATCGATCAACGTGGAAAGCATTAGGGGAGGCCTATGTTCAGCAGTGGACGTCCTATGGCTGAAATGATGATGATGATACAAAAAAGAATGAGAAAGTTGAAAATACTACTCACGGAAAACAAATTAATATTATGATTATTAATTAATTTTACGTTACAAAATGACGGTTTTCGCGTATGAAAGATCCGCTAGATGGCGGGACGTGGATGTGGGGTCTGACTGCTGCGTGATTGGTGGATTTTGACATATCTGTCAATGTCATGTCAAAAATAACCAATCATGCAGCATTTGGACCTCGCGTCTACGTATTGCCATCTGGCGGATTTTTCATTCGCGAAAACCCTCATTGTTGTAGTTTCCGGAGTAAGATAATGGCCAGTTCCTTTGTGGTCGAGAACTCTGGGTGAAGCTCGCTTCCACCTTCAGCCTGATAATTACTCAATGGTGAGATGAAGAACAAGAGCACCCCCGTTAAAAATTAGAATAGAAGAAAAATGTCTTATATTATGTTATTTATACTCACATTCTGGTATGAGTCCAGCTGGTATACCGACTTCAGATTTTGGAGTGTAAGTTCTTCCTGCAACAGTTGCCATGGCAACCCACAGGGTGAGACACACAAGGAAATAATGTGTCCATATCCTAAAAAAAGGGTTTTTATTTCTTTAGGATAGAAAGAAGTAATAAATATAATTAAAGATATCTTTTGACCAAGTTTTGGATCACATCATGCTGAATAAAGTCATTCTTATTTAAATCACCGTATAAAAGTTTCATTCTTTCGTTTCAGCCAAATGACGTCCACTGCTGGACAAAAGCCTCCCGGTCCGTCGCTGCCCACATCTAGGTACCTACTTACTTCCCGCGACCTTCACCAGATTGTCGGTTCACCTAGTGGGGGGACTGCCCACCCTACATCTTCCGACCCGTGGTCATCACTCGAGAACTTTTCTGCCCCAACGCCTATCATCAGCTCTACAGCTGTCACTTGAGCTTAGCAATTCAGCTAGAATTTATTATTGTTATATTACTTTGTACAATATATAATTTACTATTACTAGTTACCACAATTCATCACTGGTTATTGTTATGTCGACTACTTTATGACGTAGTAAGTGCCATAAACAATATGGTCATAACGGAACATCAACGAAACACTTATGTAGTTTATGGTTTTACTACTTATTAGGTGCAATATGGGTGCAATGAATGTAAATACTATATTAGGCTGTGATACAGAATGCCTTGCTAAATAATATTTATAGTAAATCATCATCATCAAAAACTTCCAAATGTAGAGATTTGAATAACTGGGGCAATTTATACAAGTACTTACAGAGAAAATAAAATAAAAATATGATTATTTTTATGCGAATTTTTTGGCTTCTTTGGGTGTCACGAACTATTTGATGCTGACTGTAACAATAGGGAAAGCGGATTTTCAATGGATTTTCCTAAAATGGTGTGTATTATAGGTAACCCATTTCCAGTATAGACTGCTATTAGATAGAATGATGATGGTGTTGAGTCATCATCATCACTGATGACGATAATAATATACGATAATAATATGGTTAAATACGTAGTAACTTCGTAGCAAAATGTGGTTATTTATAGTATAGTGAGAAAATGACCGGTTTATTTTTATAGAGCAGACAATGTATCATTGTTTTCTATTGCCCCAAAGGGAAAAGACTGCATTGTGTTCGTGGCTACAGTAAATGATGCATAAGGACATCCAATATTCGTGTGGAATTTATTAATTGATCTGTTACTATAATGTTGTTGTCTAGGTAATTATTTTATTTTTACTAATTAATTTCTCATTTTCTTACCTTTCCATGTTGAATAATAATCATGAAATTGACATTCTATTTTGTACGTTCCAACACACACACTGAACTTCAATACTTTCAAAACAAAATTATTGGCGCGAAAGTAATTCAAAACATTTAGTCCACGTTTTTTTTAACAATCGAGCACACAGAAAAAGGTTGAATGTTCCTGGCCAGTGCAGTGTCACCTTATAAACGTTCGCGTTGCAATGATTAATTTTATAACCAACCTCTTTTTTATCCTAAATCGTCAATTTTTTTTTCTTAAAAACCCATTAGCCACCGATTTTAATCTAAAATTTTATCGATTCTATTTTTTTCTAACGATGAACGCACACAAAAAGGCTATAGGTTTCAGGCCAGTATCACCGATTACACAAAAGAGTACGACCGATATGACCGATTCTTTTAATTTTGAGATCGAAACTCTTTTTAAAAAGTTCTAAATTCAAAATCCGCCGCCAGCGTGCGTCGGTTACACCACGCATGCGCGCGACAACAGTGCAAGTTTAAGGACACGAAGGGACTCACTCGTGCGCAGGTCAGGTTCATGCCACACGTCACCAGCCATTGAAAGGTGTATTGCATTTTATTACGATCTGCACGGAATATTCGATTGGTTCCCACATTTAGGTGGCCGTTGCGTGAGTTAAATACAAGCGTAGAGATGACTAATAGGAAGACCATTTTTTGACGTAATGACATGAAAATAATAAGACACAATTTCGTTCCAAGTAAGTGTTTTAAGTTGTTCCGGCAGAGCCAGCCCCTCTTCCCTGCATGTCGCAAAAGCTAAGGCAACAAACAAATCTACAAATCAAGCCTTCGCAACCCTTCGGACCTCGGAGCTTGGGGAGTGTAGCGCCTTCTCCTTTAAGTCCTGGATAAATTAGAGAACGTCGTGCTCCTGTAGCTGAGACTAAATGTTATTACGACAGAGTGAATACCTAAGTATTGATGGTACATCTTATGATATCTTCTGCAATTCACCTTCTTCTTTTCATCTTCTGCAAAACCAATGGGGCGCCCCGTGTCCTACTCTACGTTCTTCGAGACGTGGTGTCCATACTCCATATCATCAGCTAGTAGTGAAACAGGCCCTTAGATTTTAAAGTAGGTCTTTTTAACGGGACTATTTCCACCTCTCGATCCCACCGCTGCAACTTCTGTGTAACCAAAATCCACAGGTTGACCACCAATAAAAACCCAACTAATATTGGCCAAGTTTGTCTCGCTGAATTAGCACGTATTGCATAAGCCCATCCCCATATTCTCCATCATCACCTACTAGTCCTCGAAATGACATTAACATAACATTTAATATCGTTTATTATCTCAGCAATCATTTTACTTAATCACTATAATGACAGCCCATTTCATTATTAATAATAATGTATGATTATTTTCAATTGTTGCGAAATCGTGCTCTATTCATTAGTTTCTTTATGCATCTTCGATTTCTATAAATAAGCTACATAATAATCCTATGTTATTTTCAACAAATTATTTTTGCGCGGTTATCGGTAGAGTATCAAGCCAAGTTGGGACTGAAACTACATAATTTGAATACCTTAATGATTGCAATGCCAATGACAACTTTTTTCATGAATATACAGTGTGAGTCACGTTAAAGTGTACATATGAAAATAGATAAAAATAGGTCTAGTTTCATCTATTTTCATATACACTTTAACGTGACTCACACTGTATTAAAATTGCCGAAATTATCTTACATAGATTCATGGATAAAAATTACACTTTGGAATATAATGACAATAATATTCCTATCATTCAATAGCTATAAAATATTATCCATTGTTTGTGCTTTATTTAACTGAATTTCAAGGTTCACATAGACTTTACATTCTCTACTTATTTTATTTATTTACTAGCGGCCGCCCGCGACTTCGTACGCGTGGATCCCGTTTTACCCCCTTCATCTATCTTACGCGGTTTAGATTTTTTCATACAAATGTTTTTTCCCGCTAACTCCCGTTCCCGTGGGAATTTTGCAATATCCTGTTGTAACTATGCTTTGAGTTTACTAAGGTACCTGCATGTCAAATTTCAAGCGTCTAACTTAAGCGGTTTAGATTTTTCATACAAATGTTTTTTCCCGCTAACTTCCGTTCCCGTGGGAATTTTGCAATATCCTGTTGTAACTAAGCTTTAAGTTTACTAAGGTACCTGCATGCCAAATTTCAAGCGTCTAACTTAAGCAGTTTAGATTTTTCATACAAAAGGATTTTCCCGCTAATTCCCGTGCTCGTGGGAATTCCTAAGTATCCTATAACCTGCCCAGGAGTACGAAGAATAATTGTATCAAGTTTTGTTAAAATCCGTCAAGTAGTTTTTGTTTCTATAAGGAACATACAGACAGACAGACAGACAGACAAAAAAACCCCTGATAGTTATTTTGAAAATATATTTCATGTACAGAATTGACCTCTCTACAGATTTATTATAAGTATAGATTTCTTTTTATTTTGAAAGTATTTCAGAGATAGTTATTTAATTTTTAGCGTTAAGAGTCGCATCTTAAACTAATTTAAAATTATAAATAACTTTGGGTTCAATTCCCGCCTTAGGCAGTTCAATTTTTTTAAGTTATAATATTTCAGCGATGCTTGTTTCATTTCGCTTCTCTCACATTCATAACAGCCGATTCTTTACCTAACTGTTAATTTAAATTAATTGTAGTCAATTCACTCAGAATACCTACGTAAATGCCCAAAATAAAATACGTTTGACAGCTGCAGCTGCGCTCTGTCTTTTAGTTAATATTTCTGTTAAATTTATTTAAACTTGACATTTAACTACCAAACGAGCAGTCAAGACGGATCTTGCTGTGCAAAAAAAAAGTATAAACAAATTAATAAAGTTTATTTTAAGAACAAATGCCTACAAAGGACAAACCTTCCATAGAAATAAGGAAAGATCTAAAAATACACCATGTAAACAGTCTCAACCAAAATAACTTTATTTATGCTTTGTAGTATTTAAAAAATAAATTAAAAAAGTTGTAGGTAACGTCATTAACTGCATATTAAAATACTATGTAGTTTGAAAAATGGTTTATCCTTATAAGTCGAATGTTTATACTATTTAACCAAATTGTGGATAAATAAAAAAAAAAAAATGTTAAAATAAGTACCCTGCACAGCAAGTGTTCTTGATAAAGTACTTGGATCAGTACGTAAATAATAATAAAAGACTTAAAGAAATGCCAGTAAATAATTTCTTTTGCACAATATAAATCACCGCAGCCATGAGCGCACTCTTAAAGGTAGCAAGAAGGCGCTGGATGCAGGCCGCTACCAACCGGGCGATATGGAAGTCATTTGGGGAGGCCTATGTTCAGCAGTGGACGTCCTGTGGCTGAATTAATGATGATGATGATGAACAATGAGCGTTGAATTACTTAAATCTACTCGTATTATGTAGAGGCGTCCGGAAAATTTCACGTGAATATAGAAAATGTAATGCTCTCATATCATATCATATCAATCATATCAATATCTTTGTAATTGAAACATGACAATCAGCGGTGCGGTGTAGTGTATAGTCTGTGGGCTAATTCAAATGCATTTGTCGAGAGTAGAAATCGTCTGTCAAATAATTTTCTAGTAATCAATTTTGAACTGATTGTCAAGGTACAAAATACAGTTGAAAATTGAATATCAAAGCCAGACTACGCCTAATGTCAGATCAGCCGATGGTAGATGCCAAATTTCCAATATCGCGTACGAAGACGGAGAACTTTGTCAATATAGTGGTACATAAGGGTCATAATTAGTGGATGC